CACGTCGACCGTGCGCCACTCGTCGAGACCACGATGCCTGTCTACAATTGCCGACCCAATGGAGCGCGACCACAGGTTGTGCAACCGTTCGAGCCGCGCCAGCGACTGTCCATGGTTGGGCGCTGTCTTAACCAGCTGCAGCCCTCGGGCCTTCGCCCATGCCTCGAACTCGTCCGCCACGAACGCTGGTCCGTTGTCCGAGACCACGCGATGGACTGATCCCGGCCAGCCCGACAACACCTGTTCGAGTGCGATGATTGCATCCGTCGCCGATGTTGACTTCACCACCGCGAAGTCCATGAACCTGGAACAGTCGTCCACTGCCGACAGCACCTTGATGTCCCCGTCCGCGCACGAAATGCCCGTGTAGTGGTCGATGAGAATGGTCTCTCCCACTTCGCTTCGATCACCAAATCTGCCAGTCGCCTCTGGCAGTGGTTGCGCCTTCGGTAGTCTTGATCGCTGAAGGAGGCACCCCCAGCAGTGTGCTACAGCTTCCCTTGCCGCACGCCGCTCCGCCCCCCGCAATGGGCTCTGCGCTGCCTGACGCACGAGCTGTGCTGTCTTCTGTGCACCACCGTGGCCGGTAGCCCGATGAGCAGCCAACGCAATCAGCGTCAGCTCCTCCGGCTTCGCCTCGGGGTCCCTCAGCCAGCTGGCGAGCCACGGTCTCCATGGCATCCCTGCCTTGCTCTTGTCAACCGTGTTCGTCACCATCACGGCGATCGCGCCGTCACTTGCGGTATCTCCGCCGATCTCCATAGCGCCAACGTCCTTAGCGGCTTGCTTCGGGTCTCTCACTCGCCCCCAGCCGAGCGCTTCGTTGATTTTCGCCGGCCGCTCCCACGGCGCCAGCCTCATCTGCTCTTCGGCAACGATGCGGTCGAGCTCCTCCTCGCTAGGCCGCGAGCCGTAGGCAAAGGACGCCATCGTCACCTCCGCGCGCAACGCTTGATATGCCTCTGATTCGTCATCCGCGCGCCAAAAGTGCCGCGACAGCACGTCCGCCACGTTGGCCTGGCCGGCCACGTGTAGAACGTGATATTCGGCTAGCTGGCCGATCGCTAGGATCGCCCGCGCAACGCGCGGTCGCACCAGCTCCAACGATGCACCCATCAGCAGCGCCGCCAACGGTTTGCTGTCCGTGACGATGACCGGCGGATGAGCAGCTCCGAGAGATACGCTTGTCTTCTCAAACCAAAGCTCAACGCCAGTGCCTCCCTGG